GGCAGAGCGCAGGGCAGGCGCTCGCGGGCGGCACAGGGCTGACGCGTGGGGCAGGGCAGGTGCGCGAGGGGCAGTGCGCAACCAACGAAGCTCTTGCCTCTGCGCTGGACTGTGCCACAGACGACGACCGTGTAGACCTCCACGACACAGCTCCAGCACCCAAACGAAAGCAATACCCCTGAGTAGACCGCTGGGTCTCCACTTCGTCAGCGTACGAAGAGTCGCAGTGAACGGTCAGTACAACTGGCTGTGTCCCTCGAAGCACAAGCCCCACGCCTGATGTAGTCGCCAGATACTTCGCCACCCTCATAGCAGCCGTCAAGTGCACAGGACGGTGTCTCCCAGTCGCAACAAAACGAGAGAGAACGCTGAGGGGAAAGGCGAGGTCTGGACGAGTACAAGTCATCAGGTACATGAGGCAGCCCACAAGCTCTGCATAGGGACCACTAGACTCAAAGAGCTCGTCGGGAAAAGGTCCGGTGAGTCTGTGGTCGACAGCAAGAGGAGTGGGTTGTGTGGTGGAGAACTGAAGCCCGAACTGCTGAAGGACCTGCTCCACCATGTGTGACTGTGAGAGTGCAATGGTGCGAGCGACTATGTCCCTGGTGATCTGCAAGCCAAGGTAGCGGCGCGGTTCACCCAGGTCAGTGCACGTGTGTCTCTTCTGCAGTTCGGACTTCACCTCAGCTAGAGCAACCCTGTCTGCTGTAGCGAAGACCAAGTCGTCGACGTAGACAAGGGCAAATAAAGGAGTGCAGCCTCTACAAGCAAACAGCGACGGGTCGGCGGACGAAGGACGGAACCCGAGGCCAGTCAGAGTGGTGCGTAGCGTGTCGTGCCACTCACGGGGCGCCTGGCGGAGACCGTAGACTGGTCGTCTCAGGCTCCATTGGGTCCTAGGAGGGAAAGTGCCAGTGAAGCCGGGAAGACGCCGCAGCCAGATCTCCTCGTGAAGGCGGCCCTGGAAAAAGGCAGTGGAGAAGTCGAGGGAGTGCAGCTCGTAGTCTCGCTGTGCTGCTACGTGAAGTAACATCCGAAGAGTAGTCATCTTCGGGGTCGGGGCGAGGGTCTGAAAACGCTGACGCTGACTGAAGCCCCTAGCAACGTAGCGCGCCTTGAAGACATGCGTTGATCCAGGCGGCCGTTTAACCTTGAAGATTCACATGCCGTCGACTACGTTCGCCCTAGGAGGGGGAACTGCGTCGCAGTAGGTGCCTGTGGATCTCCAAGATGCCATCTCTGAGTCCATGGCCGCTTTCCACTGGGAGGCCCACTTATAGGGTGAGAGGGTGAGAGGAGACAGTGAGAGACGACTCAGGAGGTGGCGGGAGAACAGGGAACACGACGAGGACTAGAATGAAACAAGACAGTGCGAAGGTCGTCAAAAGGAGACAAGGGACGAGGACGCGGAGGACAACGAGTGGTCCAGTCGTGCGGGACAACAGGAGGAGACGACTGGGACTGAGGAGGAGAGAAAACAGCCGGAGCCGAGTCCGGAGGAGGAAACGTAGGTCCGTACGCGGTAGGAGACTATGAGCGGACAGGAAGAGAGGAGGGAAGACAAAGGGACCGAAGGCCACTCACTGGTGGGAACAACTGATACTGCAAGAGGGGCAGCTGCTGTGGCTGCTGCTGCTGCTGCTGCTGCTGCTGCTGCTGCTGCTGCACCTGCTGCTGCTCCTCCTGCTCCTGCTGGTCCAGCTGCTGCAGCTCGTGCCTCTCATGCGCCAACCTCTCTTGCTCCTTGCGCGCACGCCGACAAGCAACCTGGTAACGTGTATCGTGATGATGGGGAGGCGAAGAAGGCGTCGAAGTAAGAGTGCCTCTAGCTCCACCCCCCTCAGAGCTAGCACCTGTAGTGCCAGCACCCCCAGAACCACAACCTCCAAGGTCAGGAACCCCAGCACCAGCACCTCCAGCTCCAGCACCGCCATCTCCAGCACCTCAAGCTCCAGCACCCCCAGTGCCAGCACCTCCAGCTCCAGCACCCCCAGAACAAGCACCCCCAGGACGAGCACCTCTAGTGCCAGCACCTCTAGCTCCGACACCCCCTGAGTCCACTGCAATCTGTCGCAGTAGTGCCGAAGGCTGCTGAGGTGACTATGAGGAGGACTGTGGGGAGGGAGACGACACCTGACGTGCTACCAAGGGGAGAGGGGTAGCGTGAGACACACCTGACGGGGCAGGGCCTGGGGGGGGCGGGGGTACCGGAGGAGCGGGAGCAGGAGGAGGAGTGGGGGCGAGGAAAAGAGGAGGGGGAGGAACCGAGAGACCTCGACAGGGGTAGCGGGTGTAGTAGGGCACAGACTCGTCAAACCGGACGTCACGGGAGTCAAGAAACAGGTGGAGGGGCGGGTGGTAAAACTCAAAATCAGGAGAGTCCACCGGGAAACCAAGGAAGACATAAGGGATGTCGTGAGCCGAGAGCTTGTCCGCAGAGGTGTCACGAACGCAACCCCAGACTCAAAACTCTGACGCAACACCAGGGGACCCGGTCCAAAGACTGGTCGGTGAATCCCCTGGTCGTGAGACACGAGGCCACAGGTTCAGCTGGTGGGCACCGTAGCGAACCGCGAAGGGCCACAAAAAATGGGACGCACATGCATGGATCAAGGAGGTGCGGGCGATCTCCATGAACAAGCCAATGTGGCGCTTAACAACCCCATTATGATGTGGGGACTCCGGAAGCGTCCAGGACTGGGTGATGCCCTGTTCGCCGCAGAATCTAGCAAGCACGTCGGAGCGAAACTCACTCCCACGGTCGGAGTGGAGACAAAGGACACGATTACCACGACTGCCCTCAGTGGCCGGGAGCCACCAGATCAGCGTAGACGTCACCTCAGACTTCTTCGCTAGAGGAAACACCGTGGTGTACCTGGAGTAGTCGTCAACGACCACCAGGAAGTAGCGCTCCCGCTCGGGCCCAAGTCGAGGGGCTGGGCCCCAGACGTCCAAGTGGAGGGTATGAAAGGGAGCTGTGGCCGGACGAAGGGAGGAGGAGTGAGGAGTGGCACGCAGCCGACCCTCGCCGCAAGGAGTGCACGACGGCGCAGGCGAGGGAGGGAGCGACGCAAAGACGCGTGGGAGACCTGAGACAAGACGCTGGCTGGCCATGCTGCGGAGGCGTGGGAGGGACGGGTGCCCAAGACGGTGGTGCCACAAGACTGTCGGGTGGGAGAGGGACCTACAGGAGTACGACGCCGCAACCTGACCTGAGGCAGCTACCTGACGGGGCGCAGTAACCTGACCAGACGCATCTAACTGGGAGGGCGCAGTGTGCAGGACGAAGAGACACGAGTGAGGCTCTCTGGTGAACGTGGCAAGAACCGCCCCGGTGGAAGCGTCCGTACATATCGCAATCCTCCCGTGCGCAGGAAAAGTGACTGTGATCCCATAGTCCTGGAGGTATCCAACACCCACCAAGTTCCAAGAGAACAAGGGGATGTAGAGACCAGTGAGGGAACCAGAGGGGACAACCGGGCACGGGAGTGTGGTAGAACTGCGAGCGACAGCTGGTCCTGAAGTAGGATCAGCCAGGGCAACTGGGACTGGAGCAGGAAGAGGTGTGACAGTCGTGTGGTCACGGAAGAAGCACTAAGACGAGTCAGAGTCCAGCGTGAAGGAGAGTGACGCAGCAGCAGTCGTCAAAGATGGACTAGTAACTACACAAGCACCTACACTAGAAGCACAAGAACCTACACTAGCAACAGGCAAAGGTCCTAAGCTGGGTACACGCAAGTCGAGAGATCGATACGTGACATAATAAACAGCATCCATAGACATATCAAACATACGGTAGCCACTACGAGACAGACCGGGCCAGATCGGGGGAGCCGATTCAGGCCCAAAACGCTCACGGTAAAGGTCGCCGAGGCGGCTGTAGCAGCGCAATGCAGAGTGGTCAGGACGCCAGCAAGTAGTGCCAGCACGAGGACCAGTCAGGATCCGGTATTGATAGGGTCCAACGTCGCGGCCACCATGACTACCCCTCCAGCCGTCTGGGCAGACGTTCCCCGGACCACCAGGCCTCCACTGCTGCTGAGGGCGCCACTGCTGCTGAGAGCGCCACGGCTGCTGAGGTCCCCACTGATGAAACTGCTGCTGTCCCTGTCGCTGTAGAACCCTAGTGGACGCAATGGTAAAACGCTAGCTGTGCAAAGAGGAGGCAGGCTAGGAACAACTGGCACGAGGAACTGCTGGAACAGGAGTGGCTAGAGCTAGGAATTGCTGGAGGGAGGAACAGTTGGAGCTGAGAACGGTCGGAGCACGGAGTGACAAGGAACGGCAGGCTAGAGCTAAAGACGGTAAGAGCTAGAAACGGTTGGAGCTAGGAGCTGCTGGAGCAGGAGCGGCTGGAGCTAGGACCGCCAGGCTAGGAACGGCTGGCACGAGGAGTGGCTGGAGCGAGGAGTGACAAGGTACTGTAGGCGGCTGGAGCTAGAACGGCTGGAGCTCGAACGGCTGGAGCTAGAACCGTTGGAGCTAGAATGGCTAGAGTTGGAACGGCTAGAGCTGAAATGGCTGGAGCTGGAACGGCTGGACCTAGAACGGCTGGAGCACGAGTGGCTGGAGGTAGAGGCGGCTGCAGCTAGGCACGGCTGGAGCTAGGCACGGCTGGAGCCAGGAGTGGCTGGAGTGAGGAGCGAGCGGGGCTAGGAACGCCAGTAACGTCGGGGTACTAACCCTAATCCACGCTAGTAGAAGTAACTGCGGCTGCCAGCCGCCGCTAGAGATGCCTATGGTAGTAGGCGTGCTGGAGACTGCAAGTGCGGGTCGTAGGAGGGTAAGGCGCGGGTGCGTGCTGTCGCAGTGGCGGCTGAGAAGGGCTGTGGGCGGCTGGGAAGGGCTGTGGGCGGTTTGGGAAGGGCTGTAGGCGGCTGTGAAGGGCTGTGAGGCGCAATTCTGGCTAGGGGCGCACGCTCTGGCTGTGGCGCGCGAATCTGGCTAGGGGCGCGCGCTGCTCTGGCCAGGGCGCACGCTGCTCTAGTGGGGGGCGCGCAATGCACTGGCTGGGGTGCGCGCTGCTCTGGCTTGGGCGCGCGCTGCTCTGGCGGGGCGCCCTCTGCTCTAGCGGGGCGCGTGGTGCTCTGCAGGATGGCGCGCGCTGCTCTGCTGGGTGGAGCGCGCTGTTCTGCAGGGTGGCGCGCGCTGCTCTGCAAGGTGGCGCATTCTGCTCTGCTGGGTGGGGCGCGCTGCTCTGCTGGGTGGGGCGCGCTGCTCTGCTGGGGCACGCGCTGCTCTGCAGGGTGGCGCGCGCTGCTCTGCTGGGGCGCGCGCTGCTCTACTGGGGCGCGTGCTGCTCTGCTGGGTGGTGCGTGCTGCTCTGCTGGGGCGCGCGCTGCTCTGGGAGTGGCGCGCGCTACTCTGGCACGGGTGCGTGCATGTCAGCACACGGGAGGGAGGGGGCGCTGCTTAGGGAGGGGTACGACTACGGAGCAACGGAGTGGTGCGGGCTAGGCTAGGCAATGGAGCACGGGCGTGCTAGGCTAGGCTAGGAGCATACCTACTCATGATACCATCTCAAAGATTGAACAGCGGAATGAATGCATTAGGGATGGGAGCAGTACAAATAACAACACTAGAAATGTGTTGTACTCCCTACAATGCTACTCATAGTAGCCTAACAAGATATTACGACATTTGAAATCTGTGCCTTGTCAGAATGTTTTCAAGCGCAATACTGTGTATTACAATACGGTACCGTAACTGCAGAATGTGGAACAACGGAGAGAAGCGCCTTGCACTGCAATGGTGATGTTAATTGAGATGGCATGAAGGTCTTAGAACAGTCAACTGATCATTAATACGAGGTGGTTGAAGGAAGGGAACCGGCACTGGAATGACGATGTTGAGCAGACAACTTGAATGAAATGGCATCAAGGTGTTTAAAACACAATCAACTGGTCAAAGGGGGTGGTTGAGTTGTTGGAAAGTTGTGTGCTGCTGTCAAATTATATACCGTGTCACCCCAATGAGAAGCGCACTGTGAGGATCTGGTTCAGGAAAGAGAAATCTATTGAATGATTCACCTGGGTACAAGGCGAGGCTATATATAGGCTCGACACAAGGCAGGTAACCCAGGTGTAACGCGAATGCTCTGAGGGTCGCGAAGCGTCCCGAACAGAACCTTCCCGAACTCGGTAGAAAGCAATTCGGTGGGAACCGAAAAGGCTTGAGTTCGGTACACGTAACCTGGTTCGGTGCTATAACTATAACAACATATAGGAATGCACCTAATTTAGGAAATCAAGCATATCTATGCATGATAGTTAAAACCTAAGCTAGTAATAGCATAATAAAGTCCAGGCAAGCTAGCAAAGCCAACATAAGCCGTCGTACTCTCACACGTCCCCCCCTCAAAGTTGGGTGGCGTGAGAAACACCCTGCTTGACAAGATAGTCATTGAGAGCACGGCGTGCATTGCCCATATCAGCTTCTGCAACCCAACTGTCCTCCGACGGGTCGTATCCCTTCCAGCGTATTAGGAACTCGAGTGTGTTTCCGCGTCTGCGTCGATGAGCGACCACTCGTTCCACCTCGTACTCTGGTTCATCCTGTACGAGAACAGGTGGTGGTGGCAGTAGCTGGCGTCCCTGGAACTGTTGGTTGGGGTCCTTGTAGGGCTTCAGTAGCTGAACATGGAAAGCGTTGTGAAGCTTCCACGTAGTAGGTAAGCGCAAGCGAAATGATACTGGTGTCACCTATGCCACAACGTGAAAAGGACCACAGAAGCGAGGCCGGAGCTTGGATGGTAGGTGAGACAGGTTCAAGTTGCGCGTGTCGAGAAGCACCTGATCTCCGACTGCTACGGTGTGATCACGTCGCTGGCGATCGGCATACTGCTTTTGGGAGGTCTGAATCGTGGTGAGGCGTCGCTGAGTCTTCTCCCATAGCTGCTGCATGGTGGTGACGAAGTCATGTGCGGCTTGGACGTGTGCCGGTGTGGTTGGCTACTGTGGTGTAAGTGGTTTTCGTCCGTAACACAGGAAGAAAGGAGATTTCCCTGTGGCCGCATGTGAAGCGTTGTTGTAAGCGAACTCAAGCGTCGGTAACTGTAGATCCGAGTGGCTGATGTCGTCTTTGCAAGCTGTGCGTAGTAAGTGTTCAACCACCTGATTGAGTCGCTCAGTCTGTCCGTCAGTCTGGGGGTGGTACGCTGAAGACATCGCAAGCTTTGTCCCCAACAAACCCATGAGTTCCCTCCAGAATTTACTTGTGAACTTTGGGTCTCTGTCCGAGATGAGTGTAGCGGGGATGCCGTGGATGGTGATGATGCGGTCGAAGAAGAGGCGAGCAGTTGCTTCAGCTGTAGCCGTGGCGTTGGTCGGGATGAAGTGTCCCATCTTAGAGAACTTGTCGATCACAACGAGTATAGCGTCATGCCCTCGTGAGGTCGAAGGAAGTCCTGTGATGAAGTCGAGGCTAACGACTTGCCACGGCTGCTCCGGTACGGGTAGAGGCTGAAGTAACCCTGTTTTTTTCTGCTTGCTACTCTTCATCCGCTGGCACGTGTCACATGAGGTGACGAACTGCTGCACGTCTGCTACCATCCCGGGCCAGTAGTAATACTTCGCTATCCCTGCTAGCGTCTTGTTGCTCCCGAAGTGTCCCGCGTACTGTACGTCGTGAAACTCCTCCAGCAGAATCTGTCGGAGCGGGGCATAGTTCGGTACCCAAATCTTTCCTGTTCCCTTTCTTACAGCTAAGTCCTTCTCCCACTGTAACAGCTTCTATTTTTGTGCCTTTGCAATTTCTGCGTCCACAGAGTACCCATGTTGGAATAGACCCTTGAGCAGAGGGTTCATCCCGTCGAGCTGGATGCCTGCTACGTGACTGGGGCGGCTCAATGCGTCTGCCTTGTTGTGTAGCCCGGGTTTGAAGACGATGTCGTAATGGAAGTGGGTCTCCAAGAAGTCCACCCACTGCACCTGTCGTCGTGAGAGTGTCGGCTGCGACTGCATATATTTGGGGCTGCAGTGGCCAGTGTAAACTGTAGTCTTGGCTCCCTCTAGATAACACCTCCACGCCTTGAAGGCTGTGACTATCGCTAAGGCTTCCTTGTCATGGATTGGGTAGTTCAGTTCTGCTCCGTGTAGCTTCTTACTGAGGTAGGCGATGGGCTGCAAACCGCGTCCGTGATCCTGCATCAGTACTGCTCCGACTGCCTGGTCACTAGCGTCTGCTTCCACCACGTAGTCTCTGTCTGGATCCGGTAGGATGAGTACTGGCGCTGTAGTCAGTGCTGTCTGTAGCTGCTCCATGGCTTGCTGTTGAGGAGTATCCCATTTGTAGCGCCTATCCTTTTTCAGTAGGTTGGTCAGTGGCGCTGCTATCTGAGCGTACTGTGTCACGAACCTGTTGTAGTAGTTGGCGAAGCCTAGGAACTGCTGCAACTCCTTCACGTTCTCCGGTACTTTCCACTTCTTGACGGCTTCGATCTTCCGCGGGTCCACGTGTACGCCATCGGCAAACACCATGTGCTCGAGGAACTGCACCTTCTTCAGGGCGAAGTCGCTCTTCGACAGCTTCACGTAGAATTTGTTCTCCCGCAGGATCTCGAAGACTTTCCGCAGATGCTCCACGTGCTTCTTCATGTTCTTGGAGTAGATGAGAAAGTCGTCCAGGTACACCACTACGCACTCGTCCAGCAGGGGCCGTAGGATGTGGTTCATCTCCGCCTGGAACGTCACTGGTGCGTTGCAGAGTCCGAACGGCATCACCAAGTATTCGTAGGAGCCGTATCGGGTACGGAACGCCGTCTTGTGGATCGAGTTGTCTGCCATCTTGATATGCCAGTAACCCGACCGTAGGTCCAGCTTCGAAAACACCGTCGCACCACGCAGTTGGTCTAGGTCTGGCTTTGGAGTGAAGAGAACTGGTGCACCGTAGGGAGAGGTGGATGGGCGGATAAGTTGTCTGTCCAGTAGATACTCTATCTGCTTCTTCATGTCTGTCAGTTCGGTCGGACTAAGGCGGTATGGTGGACGTGAGACGGGTTTCGCACCTGGTTCCTCCACGAACTCGTGCTCGTGGGTTCGCGCTGGAGGTACTCCTGCAGGTAGGTCGTCTGGCATGATGTCCTTGTACCGCTCCAACACCTCCTTCACTGCTGCAGGTAGCTCTGAGTTCGGCTTCTCCTCCTCTTCTGCTGCCATCACCAGTGCTAAGTAACCCGTGTTACTCTCGTTCACTGTCCGTTCGAACCGTGCAAGTGATGTCACCGGGACATCCCCTGTATCCGTCCAGCTTCGCAGCTCCACACGTTTCTCGTTGTTGTAGATGCACGCCTTCCGTTTGACCCAGTCTATCTTGGGGTTGAACCGCTTCAGAAAATCTCGCCCCAAGATGAAATCTAATCCCTTGATGTTCGTGATCGGCAACGTCGGCTTCCACCTCAACGCCCCTATCTGCAGCTGCAGGGTTGATTCGCCGTGGATGGGAAGATTCGTACTGTCCACCATCGTTGCTGTAAACTGGGTCTCCTCTGAGGATTCTGTGAAAGATAGAACGAGGAATGAACAGCAGAAGAAGGGGTTTCACTAGCAAGCAGTTGAGTACATATAGCAAACCCTAACAGGGCTGTACTCACTATAGAGTACCCCACTGTAGACTAGAGAAATATAACATTCTGACACACCCCCATAGTCAAAGTGGGGTATAATCAGCATAGCAAGCAGTCACAAAATAGTTTACAAGCACAAGTAAAGCTAGAGGCAGTCGCTGAGGGCAAGTGAGGAGGAGGAGTGACTGTGAGAGGAGAGGAGATGGGAGGCGTCGGCTGAAGCTGCAGACACACGGGCAACAGGAGCGGCTGGCTCAGTGGCTACCGGAGATTGTAGCCTCCGGACTACAGGAGGAACTGGCTCCGTGGCTACGCCGAGCAGCTGGAGCAACTGACGCACGGGCGACTGGCACAGCAGGCTCGCTGGGCTACCGGAGATTGTAGCCTCCGGACTACTGGCGCTGCTAGCGACACGACGGCTCAACCTCCGCTCAACCTCCCCCAACTGTCCCACCCCCCTTTCACACACCCCTTGCTGCACCCCTAGCTCCACTCCCACGTCACCCCCTTAGCACCACTCCTTCGGCTCCCACACACCCACCCCCCTCAACGTCAGCTGCAGCAGTGGGAGACGGAGGAGGAGGAGGAGCAGGGGACGGCTCACACACCCGCCACCCCCATACCCGCCACCCCCACACCCCAAACGCAGTCGGCGTGGGGCAGAAACGCGGGCAGTAGTTGCAGCGGCGTGCGAGCAGAAGCGGGGCAGCGCACGGGCCCCCGGGGCTCCGCGATGGGCGACGGGAGGGGGCGACGCGCGGGCCCCCAGGGCGCCGCGACGGGCGACGGGAGAGAGGGCGTGCGCGGGTCCCCCAGGGCGCCACGACGGGCGACGGGATGGCGGGGGGGGGCGCGCGCGGGTCCCCCAGTGCGCCGCGACGGGCGACGGGAAGGCGGAAGGGGGCGCGCGCGGGTCCCCCAAGGCGCCGCGACGGGCGACGGGATGGCAGGGGGGGCGCGCGCGGGTCCCCCAGGGTGCCGCGACGGGCGACGGGATGGTGGGGGGGCGCGCGCGGGTCCCCCAGGGCGCCGCGGCGATTAGGGCACCGTCGCACGCCTCGGGGCGCGCGACGGGCAGGGCACCGTCGCGCGCCACGGGGCGCGCGACGGGCAGGGTAGGGCGTCGCGCGGCCAGTAGGGCGGCGCGACGGGCAGGGCACCGTCGCGCGCCACGGGGCGCGCGACGGGCAGGGTAGGGCGTCGCGCGGCCAGCAGGGCGGCGCGACGGGCAGGGCAGAGCCGCGACGGGCAGAAAACCGCCGCGCGCCCCGAGCGCGCGGCGGGAAGAAAACACGCTGCACGC